CCTGCAGAGCTGACAGACTGGGGCTTGTTTCCCACTCTGCAATGGGATAAGAACTGACAGATGACAGAACTCAACATTGTGTGCAGAACCATCAGCAAAGCTGCCTCTATAAACAAACATTTCACCTGTCTAGAAAACAACATCACAGGAAAAAAACCTGAAAAGCTGACCAAAGTAAGTATATCCCATCAGATTAACTCCCTGTGGCTGGAACACCTCAGACAGACAACAGTGACATGGACTGACATTGCCTGAACTCAAATCAGAGGCTGATCGTCACTCCAGGTCTGCAGGAAACCCCTTTGGGGTGGGTGTGGGAGACCCCCAGGCTCAGAGGAGCTGCCTCCAGGGAGCAGCAAAGCAAAAGCAAGAAGGTTAAACTCCATATTTAAAAGAAATATTGTGTATTGTAAAGAAAATGACCCACATTAAATATTCCATTGTTTTGACTGACCTCCAGCAGGTTTCCTCTCTTTGTTTCCATCACCACAACTTTCAGTTTCTTTCTCTGAACACAATTGCACCTGGTCCTACACTTATTAAATTTTAATTTAAATATCCCCTTCCAAAAACATAACTTTAGTATTAAATGCCTTTGCTTATGTGCAGAAACATCTTTCAAAGCAGTACCTCTGCAGAGCCCGGGCAATAATGGAAATACCAACTGGAAGTCAGACATTGGCCCAGAAGAATACACTTCTCTAGTGAAAACGGGACATTCTCCCACCATCCCAAAGAGGGGCTGTTTGCTTTGGAGACAGTCTGTAAAACCTGACCAGCTGCAAGCTCCTCACAGCCCCCCACACACAACAGCATTCACCATACAGGGAACATTAAAGGTAACATTTGGATAAACTTGGATTCAAATCTGAGTTTATCTTGAATGACAGCACAGAAAGGATGTGTTGTATTCTGCAAAATCATAGAAGGGAAGAAGAAACATTTCTAAACCAAACAATAAAATAAGGGTCAAGTCAGGCAAAAGCTTCAGCAGGTGCTTCAAAAACTCAGAACTGAACATGTGCTAAAACAATGAAAAAAAAGCCTTCCAAAACCTCCACCTCCTCTTATTAAATTATCTAAAACAGATGAATTAGAAAAATTTTAAAAGGGTCTTTTGTTTGTAAAGTCTGAAGGCAGATTCCTGTGCTCACATACTGGTTCCTAAGAAATATTTTTTAAAGCACCAACCTGACTTAGAAGTTCTGTTAACTTCAAAACCTGATGTGAAGATAGATCAGACTTGTATAAATATTTCACGTATAATATGTGAAATATTTCAGACTTCCTGACTCATGGAATTACTGCCTTGATCAAGACAGCACAATAAAAAGCAAAAAATCTGCATATTGAATTTGCACACTGAATGTTTCCATCTCGTATCACATCCAGGCCTTGGAAGTGTCTTTTTTCAGAAGAGACAAACTGAAATGTAGGGTTCTCACACATAAAGCCTTTATATGAGCAGGAGGGAACAATGCCATTGGGAATTCTCTGTCTCTTGCAATTCTCTGTGCCTCGGTACTTTGTACCCTTTTCCTCCTGTCAAAGACTTGTGACAAATATCCAAAACTGCCCCTTGGCACTCTGACACTGAGCCATGTCAGAATTCCAAGTAGTAGAAACATATTTCTGAGTGATAAGAAGCTTAAAAACAAGTACAAACTCCCCACCAACAAATGAAGACTGTAGAAACTGGTAACATTTAATAAAAAAAAATTAACAGTAGATAAAAACAAAACTTTTGTTTGACACAAAAGATTTCTGTTGAGTTTAAAAATACTGTCCCTTGATTGAGATCATAAAAAAACAATGTATTTCACAGCTATTTTCCCAGTATATTTGGAAAATGACAAAATAATCACAACCTAAACTTCCAGTATTTTTTTTTTTTTAAAAAAAAAGGGACTTCTACCTGAAGCAAATTACCATTTTCTGAGAAGCTGTGAGTACAGAAATCCTTCCCATGGCACTAAAAAAAGCCACTGAATTGCATCTTGCAAATTGAACCTTCCAGCAGCTTAATTAAAGTGAGGCAGATAAACTCTAATAAAAAATAAATTTATAGTCTGAGATGGAACTTCAAAATTAGTTCATTTAATCATATCACAACCCCATTTTTATGAAGATGCAATCTGATTTCTGTCCTCCCCTCAGCGTGGCATTTATCTGTGCAATGCTCTCACCACCGATTTCCAAAGCACACAAAGAGAGCCAGAAGTGGATTCATTTCATGTGTGGAGGATGAAAATGATCCAGCTGAGAAGTTTGCTGCCTGACCACTCCTAGCATGGATTGCGATGGGAAGGATCCCTGTGCCTGTGTTGGGTGCACGACCAAAGGTGTTCAATGCACTGCTGAGAAACAAAGTCCTGTTTGTCAAAATTATTTTTCCCACTGTTGGCACAGTGAACAGAATTCACCCCCTGCAATTGCACTGAAGACAACAGACTCAAAGGTTACAAATATTTAGAATGTCTAAACACGTGCTACATCAACATTAACTTAAGAGGGAAAAAACATAATTTAAATGTTTAAAACATCAATAAATTAACACAGACAAAAAGAGAAATATTTGACACTGAAACTAAGCTACTGAGGCAACACTAGAAGTGTCTGTATAGTGGATGAAACCTGAATGCATCAATTGGATGCAACTCCTCTTCATCCTTATCTCTTGGAGACTTCCAGATTCTGATTTTCACCTCTTACAGAAAACGTCCGAGCTGAGGAAGACTTGGAGACGAGTAAGGCAACTGAAAACAGCCTGGCTGTCAGGAATGTTAGAAGTGAACCTTCACTGCAAAGCAGCAACAGCTGCAAGAATGCATCTGCATCAGCCACCATGCTCCAAGTGCAATTCCTGGCTCAGGGCTGAAAGAACGACTGCTTCAGCTCCAGTTAAATCTCTATGCCATGATTTAGACCCCTTACCAGTTTCAAAAACTTTCAAAATTCTCAAAAACTAGCACACAATGCTTCTGTTTAATCCCTCTATTTAGCTATAAAAAACCCCCAAAGCAACAATCTTTCCAGCTTCCACTTACACCTGAAACTGCCGTTTCTAGGGTTTTAGGCCCCAGCAGATTCTTCTCTTCTATTAAGTCTAATCAAATGCTATTTCAATGACACACTGCATCATTTCAAAGACTTGGAAATGTTAGATAAGGTGAAGAGTCAGAGAAAGGCTACGGGGAGTTTACCTGAGAGGCTGTTCCAAGAATACCACACACACACACACTTTGATATGAGTGACAAAAGCCCTTGAATTGTTCCCCGAAGCCCACCTTTGCCATCATACCCACAGAGCGCCTGAGACAATCAGCCACGATGTGCTGAGAGCTTATTATCCCACTTCTTTTCCAAGTGAGTCACTCCACCCCTGTGCTACCCCCACGGCTGGCTGTGTCTAACCAAAATTCCGACTGCGAGGGCTCTGCCGAGCAAAGCACCCCGGGCATGTCTGCGAGGACCCAGCACAAGCCCCTCTCTGCTCTTTACTACAAGGAGAGCAAGAAATGGTGGTGTGAAGGCAGCAGGGTTTAGACAACCTGTGCTCTTAAAATTTCAGATGAACTAAAGAGGATGTTTATCTTGAGATGAAATACGCTGGAAGCTGATCAAGATGCCACTTAAATGCTTTGCCCCAGGGCCCTCCAACAGAAGGAGGCAGCAGTAGCAGGGGGTTCTGCCCCATCCTCCCCTGAACAGGTACACACACATCCAGGAGAGGAACTCAAATGCACCAGCACTGTGTGCTGACAATTACATGCCATGCCAGGAATGCTTCATCCTGCTGCTCTCTCTCCCTCTCCTTCCCCGTTTCCTCACTGGCAGCCCCATGAGACTGCACTGGAGCAAATGTGGATGGGCAGCAGGGCCGGGCTGTGGCAATCGTGGCATGTGATGGGGCAGAGACAAGCTGGTATCCTCCAGGGCAAGGCATAGAGAGGAGAGGCCAGGGCTCACAGCACTGCACAGAGGAGGGGGGAATTTCCAGGAGGGACAGGGCACAGTATTAAAAATATGATCTTGATCTAGAACAACACAGACTTGAAATCATTTAACATAAACAGAGCCTTCCCTTTGGCCAACAGAATTACCCCAATTCTAAAAATATCACATTATTTTTCCCTATCCTTCTTTGCATTCCCACTGTGACTAAGAGCACACCAGCTGTACCAGAGGAGCTCAGCAAACTCCCCACTCAGCAGCCCAAGGCAGTGACTGGAAGCACAAGGAGGGGCACAGAGGGTGGATAGTCAGGGGCACAGCACAAGCTGCTCTGAGAGCAGGAGAGACAGAGGGACAGCCCTGCTCCAGGACAGGGGGACACTGCAATCCACCACTACAGGAATACTTGCTTCACCTTCATTTCCAAAATGGCATCAGTAAAAAGACAAGGATATTCTCTACAAAAAACTCAACAATTTGAGGGCCATTCTGCCTTCTTAACAGCATGACAGTACTCAAAACATTTAATGTAGGCTAAGCTTGAACAAGCTGTGTTCAATGAGATCTGGTTCCTCAGATATTGCCTTTGTCTGACCAGTTAGATATGCTTTTGCCAACAGGATTTAGCTCCTGCTATATTTGAACCATCTTTAATCCCATGAAGGCTAAAGAAAAATGTCTCTGATTTAGCTCTGTGCACTTATGAATAACTCAAATACTACAGTTAAATTTACAACATAGTTCCCTTAGCTGTTTAGAAGACAATTGTTTTCTTTCCTTTCCCCTTAAGTTCCAGTATGTAAAATATCAGAAGAATTTAGATTAAAAAAAAAAAAAAAAAAAAAAAGGGGACATGTTATTTTTAAAGTTGTTCTTGAGAAAATTTCCACATACAAACCCGCGGCACTTCTCCACTGGTTTGAGAACAATTTTCACATGTTGGCATCATCTTTGAGTGGCTGCCACAACTCTGGTATCATAAAGCAACACATATTTTCTCTTAGCTTATCAAAATACATTTTATTTAACTGCTAAATTTGGTCTGATCCAAGTTTTTCTTCTTACTTCACAACAAACAGGAAAACACAGATCCACACTCTGATCCAAACATGCATCCTACCAGGGAAACGGGGCACGGAAGCCACCTCAGCCCTATGAGTATGACTGCCCAGACCACATCACTGCACTCACGGCTCATTAACAGAGTTCACACTGAAATGTTCACATTGTTCAACTCCTGTTCTACAAGTCCTGTCTAGGTAGCACTGAAAAACAAATTGTTTGGCCCCTTCTGTTCTGACGCTGGAACGTTGTGTCAATATACTTTGGCATATATTAAAAAAATCCCTGTAATATACCATAGACTGTGACATTTCCACTTCAGATCTATCATTTACATGTGAAGCACGAATCTCCAAAGAACCCAGTAAAGCTGTAAGAAAGACTACATTTTGCCGAAGCTCTCAGACACCCACTCCATTCAGTCACACCAGCTGGAGAGGTAAGTGTCAAGATACAGCTTTATTCTTTAAAATGAATGTGGAGGTGAAACTCCACAGCCTCCTCCATAGCAATCATTTTTTAAAGTGAAACCACAACGCTATGTGCTCCTGATCCTCCTATGTCAGCAGCATTTCTCAGAAACCTTTTTGCAAATCTGGATATCTTAAAATCGTATCTAAGTAATTTTGCAATCTACGCAATTGTCCCTGCACTTCCCAGTCCAGCTGACAGGCGTCCTAGACATGACATCCATTGGAAGATCTTTTGCTCCTAGAGGTAGAGGAGTCCTTAGCTACCCTCTGTCTAGCACACGAGGCACAGATGGCCCCCGAGAGACGCTTCAGCCCCTTCTGAAAGACACTGTTGGAGAGACTGTAAATGACACAGTTGCAGAAACTGTTGCTAATGGCAAGCCAAGTGGTCAAGAAGGACGCGACGCGGTTACTATAGACATTGGAGCTCTCCAGCAGGAAATAGATGATGTAGGGCAACCACAAGATGTAGAAGACACTGGTGATGCGGAAGAGGACCATGGCGTAGCGCTTGTCCGGGCAGGGCTGGGCCTCCCCAGCCTCCCCGTCCTGCGAGCTGAAGCGCACCCGCCGCTCATTGATCTCCTTGGTGTGCTGCTGGCAGATGCGGAAGATGTTGAAGTAGGTGAAGCAGACGATGAAAGCGGCCGGGGCGTAGAGCATCACCACAATGAAGAGGGTGAAATAGGGATCGGTATTCCAGGAATTGGCGCACCACTGGAACACGTCCCCGTGATATCCAGGCTTTCCCCAGTGAAAGGAGGGTAAGAAGACCAGGCAGGAGTAGAGCCAAATGGTCAATATGCAGATTCGCAGCCTCCACGGGGTAACCAGCGTGTTGTAGGTCAGGGGCTTCGTGATGGCAATGTATCTGTCAATGCTGATGCAGGCCAGGGAGGCCATGGAGACGCTCTTCAGCACTGATACCACATAACCAAAGATTTGGCAAACCAAAGACTCACTTAAAACAATAGGATAGTGCAGCAGAGACAAAGAAGGCACCAGACAGCTCACGCCCACCAGGAGGTCAGCATACGCCATAGTCTGGATGAAGTAGCTGGTGGTGTGGTGGTTCAGCAGAGGTGCACAGTGAAAGACAAATATCACAATAATGTTGCCCGAAATAATCAGCACCATGAGGAACACAATAATAACCACTTCCAGGAGGCAAAAATTGATGGTCTCCAAATAGCTAATGGCCAAGAGACAGAAGGGCCGGCCACTCTGGTTGCCAACCAAAGAGGAGTTCATCTTGAGCACTGCAGTGATCTCTCTACTTCATGCTCCTGCCTGCTGCCTGCAGCCACTCCAGGCAGCTGCTGTCATTGCGGCTGGTGCTGTGTTGTGCAGCAATGTCAAAACCGGAGCTCCGGTCCCCAGGGCTGCTCCAGATGCTGCTGCTGTGCATTGTCTGCAGCACAATTCCCCTTTAAATCCGGCTCCCCGCCGCTGCCGGTGCACCGGGACCCAGCGGCAGGCATGTCAGCAACTTCCCCGGCGTACCGGAGAGGGCTGATACTGATGCCCTCCTGGGTGGGCTGCCGCGCCGAGGAGGGATCAGGGGCTGGGGGAAGAGGGAGCGGAACCTCCACCGAGTCAGGACGAGAGTCCTCCCAAAGGCTGGCAGAGAGAAGGGGAAAGTGTTTTACAGAACCGCCTCTCCCCCGCGCTGCCACCTCCGCCGCTCCCCTCCTTCCCCACGCCCTGCTCAGCGCTCCCCGCCGGCCCCGGCTCCAGCCCCGCTCCCTCCCCACGCCCCGCCGACGGCAGCGGGAGGCGATGCCGCCTCCCCGGAGCCCCGGCAGCCGGGCGGGGGGATGCGCGGCGGGGAGGGCGGGGGTCCAGCCCTTCTCCGCTGGCTCCATTTTGCACGGCGCTTTTGTTCGCCGCCTCTCCCGGCCCCGCCGCCGCCCCGCCGGCCCCGCCACCGCCCCGCCGGCCCCCGCCCGGCCCGGGGCCAGCCCGGCCCCGCCGCCCCGGCCCTACCTGCGGCGGGGGAACAAAAGCGCGGAGCATCCTCGGGCGGGCGGCGTGTGCTCCGGCCGCGGCGATGCGGAGCCGGGGGCGGGGAGGCGGGAGGAAGGGGAGGGAGGCGGCGGGAGCGCGGGGGAGGGCGCGGCGCGGCGGGGACCCGGCGGGGAGCGGGGCCGCAGCCCCGGCCCCCATCCGTCCGCCCCGGCGAGCAGGGAGCGGGGCAGCGCCGGCCGCAGCCTCGGGAAGGCGGGCTCGCACTCCGGGGGCGCTCGGCGAGGCGGATCCACGGGCGGCCGGTGGCCGTGGGAGCCTCACCCGGCGCGACCCCGCCGCCCCCGGCAGCGCACACGGGTCCCGGCCCTGCCGTCCCCGCGCCGCCGGTGCCGCAGGGACACACGCCCAGCTCCTCCTCCCGCACCCCTGCACGGCGAGCGAACCGTCCATCACCGCCCTGAATTCACGCGGTTCGTCGTCACTTAAAGGCTTTTCCATCCCAGCCCTTTTGGGGAAAATCCTATTCTGGAATAAACGTGCCTTTCCTAGGTGTAGTGTGTGCTGCTCAGGAGACACCTGAAACCAAGGGCAAAGCTGAGAACGATGTCCCACCGTTAATCCAGATGCTCCTCCAGGTAGGCAGGCGCCTCCCTCCATACACAGAGAGAGACACACACAGAACGCAAAGGCATCGCCGTCCCTGACAGTGCCTGGGACATCGGACACCAAAACAGAAAACCCAGCGACATTCCAGCCAGCAAACACGCTAGAGATTCACAGCACAGCACTTCAACTTGTATTCACACCCTAAGTTAATACCATCTCTATTCAACCAGAAAAACCTCTTTGAAGGCAGAGAGGCATAACCAGGTACAGCTCTTGTTTATTGTTTGTCAAGAGCTTCAGATGAAGCGTGAAAACGTGTTCCCAGGTATGTGGGAGCTCATTCTCTGAGCCGGACTCCACTGCCGCCGCTGAGGACAGGCCCTTGCAACGGGAATTTGTATCTGAATGGATCAAGCCAGTAAAAAACTGAAGTGAAGCTCTCTGGCAATCAAAATCATTTAGTCAGACATGAAAGTGTGCAACTGGCATCCTTACAAGCTGAGGTCCACACTGAATTCAACCAATACCAACAAACACAAGGTTTTGGTTAACCTAAGATCAACGCTGGTCATTCTGTGGAATACCTAATGGGAAATTAATTGAGGCCAAAGGGATAGATGTCAAAGCAATCAAGCCGCAATTCTCAGGTTTTTAGCTGACCAGTAAGTACAAAAATCATTTCATGATACACTTGTCTTGGCCACAAATCTGTGCTGGGCAACAGCATGACTTGGCAGATTTTTAGTAAGTCTCATACAAATGCCTGAAAACAAAAATTTGGGGGTTCTGCCCTATCGTTAACCCCAAAAAAATCTCTTTACTATTCTCCACCTTTTTTTTTTTAAATTTATGGTGTTTCTACTCATGGTAGCTGAAGTACTAGAACTGTATCTAGGAAACATAAACTTTGAATTAAATTTAGGGCAGGGTATTGTGGATTTACAAAAAAACAAGCTATGATTGAATTACTGCTGGAGAAATGATCTCCTATCTTTCCAAAGCAGAGAATGATTTACATACCGATTGATTCAAATAGTATTTCTGGATCCCTGGGCACAAATAGACACATTATAAACAGCCCCAAGAAAATGTATCTTGATACATTGAACTTTCTATGTCAGATACATAAAAACAAGGTAGCAATGGAAATACTGAGCCCAACCAAAACAACACCTAGTTGCTAAAATTTTTAAACGGAAGATGCACCATGAAATCACAAACTCCCCAGTGTTCAGGTTTTTATGAAAAGCTTAATGCCCTTAGAGCCGAGGTATTTCTGTAGAAGAGCCACGTCTGTTTTTTCCTTTAACTGACATTCTATTGTTTCTCCGAAGCTGAGAGCAATGACTCCACTGAGTGCTCTTGCCAGCTTTCTCCTGCTCGCTTAAAACACCCAAACCAGCAATAGCTCCACATCCTCCTGCCCCTGCAGCAGAAGCCAGCCCAGAAGATGAAGTAAACTGCACCTGGAAGGTAACTGGGGTGCAGTGCCTGCTCCCCAGCTCTCAGCTTGAGTGCACCACCAGACCACCACAAGAACCACCCTAAAGACACCAAAATCTGTGGCTGAGGTCTGTGGGACTGAAAACACTGCTGTGGTGTAGAGACTTCTCCCACCCTACACCATGGTACAGGCACCACCTCTTCTAAGGCAATGAAAAGTACTCCAGAAATTATTCAAAGTTACAATGACAACTCCTGGGAAAACTGCTGCTTGTAAAAGATAATTAAACTTTTATCACCATGTGATCAAAACTAATCAAACAAGGAATCTCAAGGTTCAGGCACACTGACAAGGCTACGTCACTGTACACTGTGATGCACGGATGCATGGCAGGTTCCATTTCAGTTGACTGCACACAGTCAAGGCCCTCTGTCCTGAAAATTCAATGTATTCTTTTTAATTTATTGGAACATATGGAAATATGATTGTGATATAAGTGGAAAATAAGTGTTAACCACCCACAGCTAAGATTCTGTCACATTTTATGCCACCGATGACAACACATTCAGTCAAATAGCAGTAGTGACATTTCAATCTATTTCTTCATTAAAAACTAGCATCATTTGCACCAAGACAGACAAGTATATTTGGTAGAACATCTGTGTTCTATAATCCTCGTCTTATGGAGACAAAAAGGTGGGAAGATGAGAAAGTGGGTAGCAGGAGTCCTGCTATAAGAAAGACTGGAACAAATTAATCTCTTACCAGTCTGGGATTTCTCCCAGAAATGGTGACCCCAGGGTAACATTCCAGGATACTCCTCCTGACACCAGACTATTACTTTTTATTTTATTTGTGCCACAAGATGTCCCTCTCACATTGTAATTTTCCTAATATAGTGTATTTATCTGGTACAACAGTTCATGGTTTTTTCCTTTCTACATCACTTCCTCCCACACAGACCTATATTCACAAGCTTTTTATTTTCTCCTCAATATTGTAAATGTCAGGTTTTAAATGTTGATATTATGAAGAACTTCTCCACTGACAGATTCAGTAGTTGTACTAATCCTTTCTAAAATTCGCCTGAGAAGTGGCTGCTGTCTCCTTCACTTTGTACCATGATTATTTATCTTTTTTAGCCTGTCTGGCTCACTTTACGTGCTTTCTACTCAACAACGCTTTCCATCCACCTATGCCTGTCAAGAACATGAAGTATTTTTCCTGCAGGTGTCTGTTCATACCTGGAGTGAGACCCCATGTGTCTTCTGCTACCTTTCAGTGGCTGGAAGCCTGGAGATTAACAGCCATAACTGTGATTGCCAAAGTGCTACCAGGACCAGATGCCTCTCCCAGGGATTGTCTAGATCGTTTCACCTAGAGCTTCCTTTCTGTCCCCAGTAGGGACATGACCTTAATTCACTGGGCTGGCTTTCATCCACACTCCCCACCATGAGCATGGCAAACTGGAGCCGAGAAAAGCTTTATTACTGCACACAGATGGTGTGCAAATTCTCAAAAGTAATTTGTGAGAACACCATGATGGTGAAACTTCAACCTCCCCACAATAACAAAAGCGCAGACAACAAAACCCCAGCCAGCGTGTGGCAAAGAAAACCAGAGCAAATAATTAATATATGCTGTCATGATGACTAGAACCCAACAAGCACACCTTGAAACACAGTTTCAATGCAGTTTTTAAGTCATATTCAAGATGAGAGCTAGACACAGTTCTCCTGCATAGTAGAGCATAAAGGAGACACTTCCTTTTCAATCCTTCAGTAGCCAGAATTCAACAGTAAACAAGCTGTCCTTGCAGCAATTAATTTGCAAAGGAAAACAAAAACCAGAAATTACCTGAGCCTGCCCTGGAAAGCAACCACCAGAAGAAATCCTGGGGTGCTGCATCCAACATCCTGTGCACAAGGGAAAAAAAAATCCCTGAAACAGGCCAGAAGGTTTTGAAGCAGCTGCCAAGACTGATCCTTATTAATTTGGGACTGTGCTGCTGCATGGGTCATGAAAAGCCTGGCAGAAATCAAATGCAGCTACAGAAACAGAGGATAACATGAAGACAGAAGGGATTATGAGCATTATGTGCACTCACACAGGTTTCCTGCATCTCCTGCTCACATTCATGGCACAAGTTTTACATGGACTCCTTGTGTTCCTGCACTACACCACAGCAGTTAGATTCTAACACAAACCCCCTTCAAGGCATGGTAACGCAAACAACTGCAGGCTTGCCAGAGAAGAATTGGCAATAGTGACATGCAAAACATGGCAAAGCATTACAAAGATGGGAAAGCAATGTAATATAATGGACCCTTGTCTTACATAATTAACATCTTTTTTCCCAGGAACACTTACTCCTATCCATTGCTGCATACTTACTGTACCTGAGCTGCTATTTTAAAAGCAGTAAGAATTAGTCACATTAGAACTCCAAAATTATCACATTTCATGCCTAAGAAAGGCATGAAAACAAAAATTTTAGGCTGAAGTGAAGCCCAGCATTATTATACTCCTGGCATAGACAGCACACAAAGGGTGTGCAAATGTTATATTGCTGGGCCTTGAATTCGGGTTCTCCTCAGCCTCTCAAACAATCCTTGCATTTTTTGCCTGTTCTCCTCTTCAGTACCTCCACACATCCACTGAGAGATAACCCTATTTAAAGCCTTGCACTTCTTTCACTGCCTGCAGACTGAAGAAATCCCAATTCCCCTGAGAACCAAGCACACATTTCTGTTCTCAAACACCAACCTCTGTCCCTTATACAGGAGCAGTCCAGGCCTGTTCCCATATTTAAGTCACACCAAGACAAACAGCCATGGCACTGGGCTAATATGGCACCTCCAGATTAGGGAAACCTCGTTTTCATTTGCTTGAGCTGGCTATGGCAGCATGCAATAGATTACAGATGCATGTAATAGACTGCAGACCTCATGAGACTACAGCAGGGCCTGAAAATGGTCAGTCAGGACCCATTCTCTCCAA